TCTACTTTTCTCCTGTCAGAACTCTCTTCATCATGTAAGCAGAAAACAGTTTTAGAACAGTTTAAAAAATATCAGAAGCCAGGACTTCCCTGGTGGTCTAGTGGTTAAGAAGCTGCTTGCCAACGTGGGGGATATGTGTCTGATCCCTGGTGCGGGAAGATTCCACATGCCGTGGGGCAACTAAACCCATGTGCCACAATTACTGAGACTGTGCTCCAGAATCTGCATGCCTAGAGCTGGTACTCTGCCAACAAGGGAAGTGCATGCACCGCAGCTAGAGAGTAGCCCCTGCTCGCCCAAACTAGAGATTGAATGCAGCAAAGGAGACCCAGTGCAGCCATAAATAAAATAAAAAGGAAGCTAAAAAGATTTTTGAAGCCATATGGGTACCATTCTTTATTGCCAGGACCATTCAATCTTTAATACAATGTTGAAGTGTTTTTTTATATCTGAACTGGCTTTCTTGATTTATACTTAACTTTGCTAATGGCTATAATTATTATCTGCTGTTTCTAAAAATTCGGAGAATATGTGGATTCTCTGCTGACCTGAATCTGTCTCTCTAGGACTGGATCACTTTCAGAATCACTTTCTTCAGCTTCACTGCGCATGGGTAGCACCTGAGAGGCTCATTAACAACGTACACTCTATCCAGACCTGGTGGACTAACCTTTGGTTGAAGCTGAAGATTCTGGATTCTGAGCTACCTGCCTAGGTTATTCCAGCGCACACTGAACTTTGAGAGGTACTGGCTCTGTGGAACTAAGAGGCTGGGGAGGCTTCGGTGAGGCAGAGACACTACGGTAGGGCTCACAGGATCCGGACACAGAACTCTGTAAGGAGCTCTGTATTCTCTTCCTTCCTATGCTTCACCTTTGCACAAATAATGTTAGGTAACCGTGTGTTTAGGGGCTTCCCTGGTGGCTCAGCTGGTATAGAATCCGTGAGCACTGCGGGAGACCTGGGTTCGACCCCTGGGTTGGGGAGATCCCCTGGAGGAGGAAACGGCAACCCACTCCAGCATTCTTGCCTGGAGAGTCCCGTGGGCAGAGGAGCCTGGCGGGCCCATGGGGTCACAGAGAGTCGGACACGACTGAGCACCGCACAGCACACAGGTGGTGTAGTGGGGAAGAATCCATCTGCCAACGCAGGAGATGCGAGAGATGTGAGCTCCGTCTCTGGGTCGGGAAGATCCCCTGAAGAAGGAAATGGCTACATACTCCCGCATTCTTGCCTGGAAAGTCCCATGGACCAGTTCAGTTCAGTCGCCTCAGTCGTGTCCGACTCTTTGCGACCCCATGGACTGCAGCCTGGCGACAGAGGGCAAGGAGAGAACAAAGAAAGAGGCAGGTGACTCTAGATTGGCAGGTGGCAGTTAATAGGCAAAGGAACTTACTTCGAAGCCTTGTCTTGGGCGGCTGCAAGATGAGGAGGTGTCCTCAGCTGCCCACCAGAATCTTAAGAGTTTATGTAGAGGCCTTGACAGTGTTCTGTCTTGTACACTATCCAGATGGTTTCAATAAACTTAGCTCTCTCAAGGCTGTGTCCTTGAAACTGTTCCCACTGTGAGAATGGTGGGCAGAACATACATTCCAAGGGAAGGGGAGGGTGGGAGAAGCCTCCAGTTGTGCAGGTCCAACTCCTGGGTAACTGGGGATCATGTTCTCTGGATGACCTCTTCCAACAGTTGGTAGGCTTGGGGCTTACAGTAAGGCCTATTGACTTCTGTTGCCGATCCCAGCATGGAGACTGGGTCAGAAAAGACACAGTGAACACATTGGTTTACAATGAGGAAATACTCCCTTTCCTTCTCCTTCTGTTTTCCTTTCCTCCTTCATCCTGACCTTTCCCCATATTTGTCTCTTCCCTTGGTTTGTTGGTTTGTGGTCCATTCTTGAGGAAACAGCCATCTAGAGCAGACCTGGATGCAAAAATGAAGAAAAGAAAAAACCCTCTATATCAGAAATCACATCAATAACAAACAAAACACCCAATTCATCTTTAAATTACACCAATAGCACATTCGATAATTCACTTGGGTTAATTATTTTTACTGTTATGTGTAATTGTATTTGATCCATCTTTCATTTCATGACTATGCTTTTATTTGTTTACTTTCATTTACCAGCACCACCCACTCCAGTATTCTTGGGCTTCCTTGTGGCTCAGCTGGTGAAGAATCCGTCTGCAATGTAGGAGACCTGGGTTTGATCCCTGGGTTGGGAAGATCCCCTAGAGAGGGGAAAGGTTACCCAGTCCAGTATTCTGGCCTGGAGAATTCCACAGACTATATAGTCCATGGCGTCACAAAGAGTCGGACACAACTGAGCGACTTTCACTTTCACTTTTCACCAGCACTTTAATCCATCCTGAGGCTTCATCTGCCTATGGTTTCAGGTAAACTGTGTTCTTTCTGCAAAACGTGCAGTAAATGATTTTCTACTAAAATATGTTAGCTTGGTAGGAACGTATAAGGATGGATCACTGGATTTTCATATTCTATGTTTTATGTCTTAAAGAAACTTGTGAATTTTTAGTCAATTTTTATGGTAAATCAGTACTGAATAAGCATCGGACTCAACAGTACTTGAAGCCCTAAGAAACTTAAGACTAGACTTCAAAAAAAGTTTACCTTTTTCCCCCTTACAGCTCTTGCTGTGGCATGCCTGCGCTTTTCTTTCCCTCTGCTGCCGCCCAGTTCCCCATTAGCCATCACCATGGGTTTTGGAGACCTGAAAAGCCCCGCAGGCCTCCAGGTGCTCAACAACTACTTGGCAGACAAGAGCTGCATCGAGTGGTACATGCCATCGAAAGCAGATGTGGCAACATTTGAAGCCATCTCCAGCCCACCACTTGCCAACTTGTGTCATGCCCTCCGTTGGTATAGTCACGTCACCTCTTATGAAAAGGAAAAGGCCAGCCTGTCAGGAGTGAAGAAGGCCTTGGGCAAGTATGGCCCTACTAATGTGTCAGACACTATAGAAAGTGGAGCTACAGATAGTAAAGATAACAATGATGACATTGATCACTTTGGATCTGAGGAGGGGGAGGAAAGTGAAGAAGCCAAGAGGCTAAGAGAAGAGTGCCTTGCACAGTATGAGTCAAAGAAAGCCCAAAATCCAGACCTTGTTGCCAAGTCTTCCATCTTATTAGATGTGAAACCTTGGGATGGTGACACAGATATAGCAAAACTAGAGGAGTGCATCAGAAGTGTTCAAGAGGATGGTTTGGTCTGGGCCTCTTCTAAACTAGTTCTGGTTGGGTATGGCATTAAGAAACTTCAAATACAGTGTGTAGTTGAAATGACAAAGTTGGGACAGACATGCTGGAGGAGCAGATCACTGCTTTTGATGAGTATGTACAGTCTAAGGATGTGGCTGCATTCAATAAGATCTAAAATTCATTGTGGATCAGTGCCCTTAAATAGAAGTTTGCAAGATTAAAGAGAAAGGTTAGATTGTGTGCACCTGGTAAGTTGCTCAGTTGTGTCCAACTCTTTGTGACCCCATGGACTGAAGCCCTCCAGGCTCCGCTGTCCATGGGATTCTTCAGGCAAGAATACTAGAGTGGGTTGCCATGCCCTCCTCCAGGGGATCTTCCTGATCCAAGGATAGAACCTGAGTCTCTTATGTCTCCTGCATTGGCAGGAGGAGTCTTTACCACTAGTGCCACCTGGAAAGCCCCTAGATCAGGATAAATCTTTTGCATAAAACTCCAATTATAAACACAGCTCTCTGCCCATCTTCCTGCCACTCCCTGCTTCCACAGATAAGTTGTGCTCTTTATTGTGATTTGGAAAAGACTAACCATAATGGCTAAGTCAGTGCTATTCAAATAAGAGCTATAGTCATATCCACGTCATCTCTATATTTGTTTAAACTCTGTTACTTCTCATGTGAATTACAGAAATTGCCCCTTGTCCCAGAACAACCCTCCCAACCCATTCTCTAAGGTAACTAAGGTAATCTTTCTAAAATATGCATTTTGCTATTTCTCCCTTTTGCTTAAAATCTTCTGTTGGTCTCCTGTGCTGTGTTCTCTGTTGTTCTGGCCGTCCGGAATGATTTCATTACACACGGAAATTAAATGAGATTCTTAAATTTAATATTAGAGGGCATATGAACCAGTCCTTCCTAGGGCATGGCAGCTAAAAGAGGAGAAGGTCAAGAGCTGTCAATGGCCATATTCCTCACCCCATGCAGGAACCGCAAGGAGAAGCAGAGATGAGAGACAGGAACGAGCTGCTGCTTGTGTTGGAAGCCCTGGTTCAAGCTGGCCCTAACTCTTGTCTGTACCCCTGTCTTTCCAGAAATTGCTTGTTCTGTCCTTCCTTGTGTCACATAAGATACCCCAGTACATTCCTGTAACGTCCTTCCTTTCACCTAGGCTTAGAAGTAGGTTTTTGTCACTTGCAAACAAAAGAGTCTTGGTTAGAACAGCTTGTAAGGAAAAATACAACTGCTCCTGATACATAGCAAGCACTCTGTTAATCCTTGTCATGATCATTTGCCTGATTTCAGCATCATCCCTGTAACAAAAGGATACACAGTCCTCTTAGGTTACATTAATACAGAATTGGCACTTAAGAACTAATGACTGGTAATGTAATCAACATTAGTGCAACTGAAGAAGAAAAAAATAATAGCTTGTAAGGCCCTTCATGATATGGCCCCAGATGATCAAATCACAGTCTCCATATAACTCTTAGGAAGATGCTCAGCATCAAGTAATAGAACAGAGACAAACAGACTTACAAGGCATTCTATTCTCTCTTGTACCAAGAAGGGTAGACAAACATAGTGCTGGGAATGGTTTATCAGCTCAACTAAACGGGGCTTCCCAGGGGGCTCAGTGGTAAGGAATCTGCTGCCAAGCAGGAGCTACAGGAGACAGGGTTCGATCCCGAGGTCAGGAAGATCCCCTGGAAAAGGAAAGTGCTCCCCACTCCTGTGTTCTTGCCTGGAGAATCCCATGGATAGAGGAGCCTGGAGGGCTACAGTCCATGGGTCACAAAGAGTTGGACACGACTTCGCGACTAAACAACAAAATGTTAACGCCTTAGCTCTTTGCAATTTGAGTCTTTCCTTGATCCCAAGACGGGCGTAGCAGCTCCAGATAGTCTTTAAGACTTATGTGAGCATCTTCGATAAGGAAGCAGAGGGCAACAGCTTTCTCCTTGGGAGGGTCTGCTTTTAGCCTGGAAAGGAAGCCTTTCCTGACTGGTCCTTAGATCTCATTGGCCAGCACTGGATCACATGCTCAATCCTAGACTGATGATTGTGAAGTGAAAAGTACATTCATTCATTCTCTAGCTGGCCATAAATCCCTGGACCTGTGCTAGTTATTGGAGGCTTTGTTAGCAGAGAATAGAAAGTGGAGTTGTGTATAGTGAGAAGCCATATCTCCCATACATACATTTCTATTACCACCATCATTACCACCCCAGTTCTAAAAGCCAGTCTAATTGAACTGCCTTCAGCACTCAAACACGCTATATTCTCTGTGGTGTCTGGGTCTTTGCACATGACTTTTGCTTTACCCACAACACACTGTCTTTGCTTCATTTACTAAGATCTTGATGTGAATGGCTCCTGCTTCTCCCTTTAGGCCTCAGTTTCAATACCACTTCCTTTGAAAAGTCTTCCCTGATCCCCAGTTCTCTAGTACCCTTTTGTTATTCCTGTCTTAGACCCTGCCAAACTACAGATCTTCTCGACTTATGATGGGGCTGTGTCCTGATGAAACCACTGTAAGTTGAAAATATTGTTAAGTCAAAAATGTATTTAATACACCTAACTTACTGAACATCATAGCTTAGTCCAACCTACCTTAAATGTTCTTAGAACACTTACATTAGCCTACAGTTGGGAAAAATCATCTAACACAAAGCCTATTTGATAATAAAGTGTTGAATAACTCCCATAACTTATTGAATACTGTACTGAAAGTAAAAAACACAATGTTTGTCTGGATATAGAATGGTTGTCATTGCATGACTGACTGGGAACAGCCTGGTGTCACAAGACAGTATTGTGCCAGATATTGTCAGCACAGGAGCAGATCAAAATTCAAAATTCAAAATATAGTTTCTGTTGAATGTGTATCAGTTTTGTACTATCACAAATCGAACTATTATAAATTGGGGACTGTTTGTATATTGTAATTTTCTGTCTACTTATTTATATTCCCTACTAGATTGTAATCTTTTGATGTTTATTGACTGAGTCTTATTTCTCTATGACCTCACCTAGAACTTGTACATAGTAGGTGATCAATAGATATTTGTAAAAGTAGTAATAAATGGAGTGAAGCACTTTTGGGGTGCACTCAAAATCAACATGTGTTAAAACCACTTAAAAAAGGTCACGGGGACATAGATGTTAATTTACTTCTGATTTTTGTTCAAAGAAATAAATAAAGAGTGTTTTGTTTAAAAAAATTCCTTGCAGACATTTACATTTAAAAGCTTTTGCCATGGTGATTTCCAAAGAAAGAGAATGGAGAAGGATGATTTCTTGCTCAGGTAGGGATATATTTATTTTGCTTGTCTTACACAAAAACTAAAGATTCTAAGAGTTTTCAAATGGTCTTTGACTAGTTTTTCAGACATATTCTTGCATATGTATTCATAATATAGAAACTAAATGTAGCTGCTAAATGAATTCACTTGAATTTTATAAGATGCTATCTTATTCTGTAACTACTTGATACCATTAGGAAAAAGCAACAATGTGACATGATGTGACACTTTCAACTCCTTTTGTAAGCAGATACATTTAAGTAAACTCTGGGAGTTTGTGATTGACAGGGAGGCCTGGCGTGCGGCAGTCCACGGGGTCGCAAAGAGTCGGACACAACTGAGCGACTGGACTGAACTGAAATTTAAATAAGGACTGAACGAATGAATGAAATTAAGTGGGAAACAATAATGACCAAATTTGATTAATATAATAGACATCATTTCAAAATTTTAGCACTCTGAAGTTCAATATTGAGATTGTAATTTATATGAAACATTCATTCACAAATTTTTAAAAAAAGAATTTACCAAGCACGATGAATTGAGGCCTTTTAGGATTTTCAATGTAGTATTGCCACTTCTGGAGAAGGCAATGGCAACTCATTCCAGTACTCTTGCCTGGAAAATCCCATGGGCAGAGGAGCCTGGTAGGCTGTAGTCCATGGGGTCCTGAAGAGTCGGACATGACTGAACGACTTCACTTTCACGTTTTACTTTCATGGATTGGAGAAGGAAATGGCAACCCACTCCAGTGTTCTTACCTGGAGAATCCCAGGGACGGCGGAGCCTGGTGGGCTGCCGTCTATGGGGTCGCACAGAGTTGGATATGGCTGAAAGAACTTAGCAGCAGCAGCAGCATTGCCACTTTTGTGTGTCGTACCCTGGTATATTTTGTCAGAGAGCTCCCCAAAAGCTGCCCACTTGGAGTGGGGCCCAGAGTCGGAGGAGGTTGTCTACCTGGCCTTAGATGCAAGGCAAGCATCTCTGCCTTGGCTCTAGGGAGCTAGTGGGTCCAGTGTGGCTGGAATGGTCTGTGATTCTTCTGAAAACTGTATGGAACCTATGCCAAGCCCCAACAAGACCATCGCAGAAGAGACCTTTTCTGTTTGGGAAAATGCAAAGGCTAGTTTAGTAAGTGAGTCTTCATTTTGAGAAATGACTCCTGGCTTATTGCTAGGCTCATATAGAGGCTGAATCATTCAACCATCTGGCATGAGATGGCCATAGTACCTCAGTTCCTGACCTCAAATGGTATTGTCTCAGACACTTAGCATAATGCCAGCCATTCCCAGCAGTAATCCACATCAAGCAGATTGAGATGAAAGAGAAACCTATAAGGTTGAGTCTAGGGGAAGCCTAAAGACACAGGTAACTTGTATGAGCAAGCAGTTGCACGTCTACATTGCACGTTCTTCCTTATGTCTCCTGGGAGCCTCCTAGGACTAGTGGACCAGGGAGAGAGTAACCTGAAGCTGGTGTACCGATGGCTTTGCAAGGTACACTGGCAGCAGACAGATGGGAGGAAGTGCTGCTGGTCTTCAGGGTGGCCCTGACTACAACTGAGAAGTTAAATGCTTACAAGAGTTAAATTTTGAGCAGTAATTTTATGACTCACTCTGTCTAGAAAGGAGCACATTATTGTCTGTGCTTTACCTGAGATCAGGATCTGAGCTGATTCTTGAGCTTTTTATTTGGCACAGAGGTGATATTCAAGATCTGTGATAAGATAGGCAGTTGGAATGTAGCAGTGAAACTGGGGCTGAAGACCCTCCTTGTGGTGCCAGACGTTCACCCCTTTATTGCTGGATGGTAGGGAGTCAGAGACGATGCTGAGGGAAGAACCAGAGCGACTTTGGCAATGGTGGATATAACGGGGGAAGGGGGTTTGGGATAGTGGCAACGTTTTAGAGATGGTTTAAGGTTGAATGGGGGCATTCCTGGTGGCTTGGTGGTAAAGAATCTGCCTGCCAATGCAGGAGACACAGGAGATGTGAGTTTGATCCCGGGGTCAGGAAGACCCCATGGGGAAGGAAACGGCAACCCACATCAGTATTGTTGCCTGGGAAATTCCATGAACAGAGTAGCCTGGAGGGCTATAGTCTCTGGGGTCGCAAAGAGTTGGACACGGCAGAGTGAGCACACATGCAAGGCTGAATGAGTAAATACTGGGCAACTTTGTTGTTCTGGTTTGACTAGATGATCATGGAAGGATCAAGACTGAACTGGTGACAAGGTTTTAGGAAAGGGTGGATGGACCTTTCAGAATAGGACTAGAGTCTGAAAATATCTGTGTCCATGTGAATGCTAAGATGCCTTCAATACAGAAGAGGTTCTTAATAACCATACAATTGAACTCATCTCACATATTAGCAAAGTGATGCTCAAAATTCTCCAAGCCATCCAACTAATAAAAATAAATGGGAAAAAAAAGAAAGAGACATTAAAAATACCCACACACACACACACAAATTCTCCAAGCCAGGCTTCAACAGTACGTGAACTTCCAGATGTTCAAGCTGGATTTAGAAAAGGCAGAGGAACCAGAGATCAAAATGCCAACATCTGTTAGATCATAGAAAAAGCAAGAGAATTCCTTTTATTGATTTCTTCTTTATTGATTACCCGAAAGCCTTTGTGTGGATCACAACAAACTGTGGAAAATTCTGAAAGAGATGGGAATACCAGACCACCTCACCTGCCTCCTGAGAAATCTTTATGCAGGTCAAGAAGCAACAGTTAGAACTGTACATGGAACAACAGAATGGTTCCAAACTGGGAAAGGAGTATGTCAAGGCTGTATATTGTCACCCTGCTTACTTAACTTATATGCAGAGTACATCATGTGAAATGCCAGGCTGGATGAAGCACAAGCTGGAATCAAGAATGCCAGGAGAAATATCAATAACCTCAGATATACAGATGATACCATTCTTACGGAAGAAAGTAAAGAGGAACTAAAGTGTGTCTTGATGAAAGTGAAAGAGGAAAGTGTTAAAGCTGGCTTAAAACTCAACATTCAAAAAACTAAGATCATGGCATCCAGTCCCATCACTTTATGGCAAATAGATGGGGAAACAATGGAAGCAGTGACAGACTTTCTTTTCTTGGGCTCCAAAATCACCACAGATGGTGACTGCAGCCATGAAATTAAAAGATGCTTGCTCCTTGGAAGGACAGTTATGACCAATTGAGACAGCATATTAAAAAGCAGAGACATTAGTTTGCTGACAAATTTCCGTCTAGTCAAAGCTATGGTTTTTCCAAAGTCATGTATGGATGTGAGAGTTGGACCTTTAAAGAAAGCTGAGCACTGAAGAATTGATGCTTTTGAACTGTGGTGTTGGAGAAGATCTTGAGAGTCCCTTGGGCTGCAAGGAGATCAAACCAGTCAGTCCTAAAGGAAATGAGTCCTGAATATTCACTGGAAGGACTGATGTTGAAGCTGAAACTCCAATACTTTGGCCATCTGATGTGAAGAACTGACTCATTGGAAAAGACCCTGATGCTGGTAAAGGTTGAAGGCAGGAGGAGAAGGAGATAACAGAGGATGAGATGGTTGGATGGCATCACCGACTCAATGGACATGAGTTTGAGCAAGCTCCAGGAGTTGGTGATGGACAGGGAAGCCTGGCATGCTGCAGTCCATGGGGTTGCAAAGAGTCGGACACCACTGAGTGACTGAACTGTGTCTTAATAACCAGTAGAACAAAATGACTCCTTCTGTGGGAGTCAGCCCTCCTCCTTCTCCAGCTAGTCTATTGGTTCACAGACAGAACAGTTGTGATGGCCAGAATGGAGGTAACGCTTGAATTCAATAACATAAATTTCCTTTCCTCTAGGTTGATTCACATACTGTTAGCAACAATGACTAGCAATGCGCCTCTAGGGGACCTGATCTACTTCCCTGTGGCAGATAATTTTTTTGAGTTGGAAATGCCCTTTCATCATGGAATAGCAACATGCATCATCTTTCTGGACTTGGATTCGTTCTCCCTGTTCATGTGCATCTCAAGCGTCACAGGATTCCATACATGGCTCCTGACAGGTGAGCTCACCACATTGCAAAAGGAGAAATGTGATAGGCTACTAACTGCCTGGTCTTACTGTATGGATACTCAGTCACCCTAATGATGCCAGAACACTACCTAAGAAGTGACTCCCCTGGTGGCTCAGACAGTGAGGAATCTGCTTTCAATGCAGGAGAACTGGATTTGATCCTGGGTCAGGAAGATTCCCTGGTGAAGGGAATGGCTGCCCACTCCAGTATTCTTGCCTGGAGAATCCCATGGACAGAGGAACCTGGTGGGCTACAGTCCCTGGGGTCACAAAAAGTCAGACATGACTGATGGACTAACACACACACTATCTAAGAAGTAGCCCCTTGTGATATTGGTGTGCTCTGTTGTAGGAAACTCAACATGAGCAGAACCAGTGATCAATATGATTGATTTTTGTCTTCATAGACAGAATGCAACCTAGGACCCAGAGGGTGAAGACTTCTTTAACATTATACCTACATTTTCACTTTCAGAATTTTTGCTTTAATTTTTCTTAAAAGAGCTATTATTTCTTTAACTCTTCAGTGTAAGGAATTTAGTACTCAATGAAGGGATGCTTTAGCTAAGGGTTAAAAAAAAATGTAAGTTGATTGAAGTGGCAGCTGAGACTGCCACCTGGATATGTGAGATTCTTTTTGCAATCAGGGCAAAGATCCCTGGCAAGCTGTGGTGTTGGCTGGAAGCCAGGAGAACTTGGACCAAGTTTAGGAGGAATCTATCTTGTAAGTCAGCATCCTTCTTATGAATGCCAGCAGAATGGAGGACTTGCACCAGTATTTCCTTGCTAAGTATGCTATTTATTCTCCTGTTTCCTTTTTAAATGATACTTTAAAAATAATTAATTTTTTTCTCTTCTTTCCTCTTTCTTTCAGGGGCACACAATGTTATCTAAGTAGTGGTTGAGTTTATCATGTAGTCTATAAGGCTGAGACGGGATTGTGACAGAACTGAAGAGGAATGGACACAAGCCAGTGGAAGCCAGAGGTCCTGGCCAATATCTTACTTCTGTGTGCAGTGGCTGGAAATGACTGTGGTTGTCTCCCACTGCAGTTGTGTGGGGACTGGTTGGGTCACATGTTATGAGTGATTTTTGGGGAGGAAATAGGGGGGAAAGGTATGTATTAGAGGGAGAGAGAGAAGGGAGGAGAGGAAGGGAGGGAGAGAGAAAGAGAAAGAATGTGTGACAGAGACAGGGAATGAATGAATGAGTGTGTGTGTGTGTGTGTGTGTGTGTATGTGTATGGTCAGCCAGAGGGTGGATTGTAGCAGTTAGCTTTAGGGTATCTATATGGTCAATTGTGATTTCTCCTTTCTCAGAAAGATTGTTCCTTTGCGCATGGACATGGGCCCAGGAGATTTTTCTCTGTGCTATGTGATTCTGTCTACCTGGCCATGGATGTTTGTCTGGGAGTTGCTACCTGATCACGTTCTGCAGCTTGACTATTACCATTTGGAATGATGAGACAGAGAGTTGGAAAGCCATTTGATCCCTGTCACATTAGGGCAGATTCTAAAGAGAGATTTATAAACTCCTTGATGCCCTGGAGACTCCCCACTTCCTGCCTTTTTGAACCTTTGTCCTTCACTCCTCTTTGGATTTCATGAAATGCTCTGAAACCCTTCCCATAATTTTCCTTTGTTGTCTAAATTAGCCAGAGTGGTTTTATGTTCCTCACAACCAAAGAACATTAGTTAGCTAATACAGAAATTAAAGACTACCTATGTATGGAGTAATCCTGGATGTGGTTGCTTAATTTTAATGAAAAAAATCAATTATTTGTGAAGAAGACAACCACAAGAAGAAAGGAAGACTTCCAAACTTAGCTCTTTCTTCATGGGGTTATACTGCCCTCCTTATTCTCTTAATTCTGGGTGGAAAAAAAAATCAGCATTAATTACTGGAATAATCACATTTATTTTTCTAAAGTTAAATTTTGGATATACAGAGGAGATGGCATGGGGAGGGATGAAACATACCATCTGGAATGATTAGTAGCCTAGTGTATCTGGTTTAGTGAGAACTAGGTCAGATGGACAAGAAGTGAAGATACATAGACTTGGAGTAAAGGCAAGCAGGTGATCAAAACAAGTATAAATACATAAGCCAGAGGAAGTCCTCCAACACTGGCTTCCTCACTCCTGTACTGTTTTATTAATCCTGCTGCTGCAGAGACAAAAGACCTTCTGGTGGTAGTGGATACAGACAATAAAGGAACTTGCCAAATAAATAAAATTATGCATTGGTCTCTTTAGGTATATCATTTATTAATGTCACCTTCTTCCTGGTCTTTACAGCTTTCTTCTCATTGAAATATAATAACCTCTAATGTATATTAATGAAGTTGTTCTCAAATCTTAGTAATCCTAAAAATTACCTAGGAAGTTCTTGTTAAAACACATATTCTGGGCCAGCCCCTCAGAGGTCCTAATTTATTAGGTTCAAGGTGGGACCCAGGAAGCTCAACTTTTAATAAAAACAAAGATTTTCAAAGGCAGTTAAGTCATTGGTCGAGTGACCACATGTAAATTATTTTCCAAGCGAGGAAGTTTTGGAGAGGGAAGTGAGTTGCTACTAATAAATAATTATACTGGAAGGACAGGTTCAATCCAGCACTGCCCCATGCAAATTACCACAGGGCCAGTCATTGATCATACTTGAGAAACACAGCTAAGCGAAATGCAATGTCAGTCATAGCAACTCTGACAATCCACATTTAAGCTGATTGTGGTTATAAAAGTCCTTGTTATATATGAGACATTTAGGCCTTAAGAAAAGATACATGGAAGTCCTTTTATTTTTCAGGTGGGGAATGGCCAGCCTGCTGTATCCCAGAAAACTAATACAACCTTTGGTAGTCTTGTTTTACCCAGTGATTTTTGAGACAATTCAAGAACTTTTAAATCACAGAAAAACTCCTTTTTTTCTTCGCTCCTTTTGTCCCTCCCTCCCCATCCTCATTCCCTCGCCAATTTTTTAAATCAAATATTCACTGAGGAATCCAGAAGACTGAGAAAGTCAGCCAGGGAGAAAGCAACCATGGACCCTCCTTCCTTTCACTCTTCATACAATGCAGACAGTCCAGCTCCTGCAACCAGTGCAACTCACTACTCTTCTGGAGAGATGTTTAGCCAACATCATTGAAAATACAACAGAATCATATTTTGCTTTAATGCTAGTTTAGCAGTTCAACCAGAAACACCTTAACCTTGAATGTTTAAGGGACTAGTTATACCAAAATATTTTTAAGCAACCTTAGACTATAAGTAGGAAATTTTGTCTCTTTTGTCTGGCGTGGTTGTCATTGTGTTAAAGAGTTACTTCTCTTGTGGGTGAAGATTAGGTTTCACTTTGTTCATTTCCAGTTAATTTTGGGTTTGCATTGTAGAAAACAGGTCAAGTGTAAACACAGATCGTAAGAAACGAAAAGTAAGCACCTGCTGGGCAGGAGGAAGGCATTAACTATTTCAAGTACTATTAAGAAATAGTACGTGCTGCAAAAGTAAATTAGTCACATTCACAGTGACAAAGACAAATCAATGTGTCTTTAAAAAATTCTGACTTCTTGAATTATTTGCCCCATAGAAAACAATCCACCTCCCCATTTTTTTTAGAAACTCTAAAAGTATATTTGCTAAATGGATCCAACATTTTAAGAAATAATTTTATGCACTGATTTATTTTGGCTGTGCTGGGTCTTCATTGCTGAGTGGGCTTTTCTCTGATTGCAGTACACGGACTTCTCATTGCAACGGCTTCTCTCGTTGCAGGGCTTGCGGACTTCAGTCATCGTGGTGTGTGGGCTCAGCAGTTGGGGCTCCTGGGCTCTAGAGCACAGGCTCAGGAGTCACGGTACACAAGCTTAGCTGCTCCAAGGCATTTTGGATCTTCCTGGATCAGGGATCGAACCCATGTCTCCTGCATTGGCAGGTGGATTCTTTACTACTGAGCCACCAGGGAAGCCCCACCTTCTCAATTTTTAAAGTTAAGAGTTGTAGTGAGCTTGGAAGAGCTTTATGATTACTTTTTCTCTATTTACTTAGGAAGAGAAAAATCTCCATTCTTTGATCTTTGTTGATACTGTGTCATCTTAAAGACATTTTTAGACTTGTAATAACATGAAGCACTTTGATGGAGAGATACCTATTTTTAAAAAAAATTTTTTTTAAATTTTTCCCTTTGACATTTCATCTTTGATATACTAATTACTGGAAACACAATTTAACAATCACAAGATAAAATTCTTAATTTAGACTTAGTTTTCCTTAAGGAATTCAATAAGAAGCAAATGTCAACTCTAATAAACCTTTGTTTAATGCATAGGCCATACTGTGGTATGCGTATTTTCTGTAAAATAAATGTCACTTTCAGCTTGTGTTAACCCACATTATACTGGGAAATTTCCTAATGACTCTTACAGATGTTTTTTCTTTCTGTAAATCTATTACTGTGAAACTAGTTCCTTCCTGACTTCCTGTTATGCTTCTCTGCTATTGCATTATTGGTATTTATTGTGTTGGAATAATCTGTCTTTATAAATTAATTTTGTCTTTTTGTCTTAATTTTTTCAATGCTCTTGATTTTTTCAACTTATATTAGCATTTTTATTATTAATTGCTTTTTGAAGAGGCATTCATACTTAAATGAGATTTATTCTGTTTGCAAAATTTAATTAAAATTTTCTTCTTCCTCAATACTTTAAACCTGTACTTGTTCTTGGATTTTAATATTTTCTATTATTTCAAATCAATAATGGAGAATGAAAACATTCATGTACTAGCTCACTTCAGTCATGTTTGATTCTTTGTGACCCCATGGACTGTAGCCCACTACACTCGTCTGTCCATGGGATGTTCCAGGCAAGAGTCCTGGAGTAAATCCTCCAGAGGATCTTTCCAAATTAGGGATTGAACCTGCATTTCTATGTCTCCTGCATTGGCAGGTGGGTTCTTACCACTAGCGCCACCAGCGGCTTGAACATGATTTGTTTTATTGTCTTTGAGATACCTTGAATATAAAAACACATTCTTCTATTTCTGCTTTGTTCAGAAAGTTTTTCTATAGCTCTTTATCTATAAACTTACATATCCCACAGTTGTGTTATTGATCTTCCCTGTGTCCATTCACTCAGCCAGACATTCATTGAGTACCTATCATTAATCAGATACTGATAGGTTATGTTTGTTATTATATCTTTCCAATTGTAATCTTTGTTGTATTCTATTTCTAATGCTGCTCACAAAAAGTATGCTTGCAGCAAACTCTTACTTTGATTTATTCTCTTTCTTAGTTAATTGAAGTGTAGTGTGTTTATAGATTTAAGAGCCAAGACTACTAAATAAATACACTAGCAGTTATGATAATTCTAAAACTGTCTGGTTAAATCATATATCTGTTGTGATAGTCTTTGGGCACACATAAAATTTCATTGAAATTTGCAAAAATTATAGAAAACTTGATAACCTTTCAATTCAGTTCATTTCAGTCGCTCCTTCGTGTCTGACTTTTTGTGACCCCGTGGACTGCAGCACAGCAGGCTTCCCTGTCCATCACCAACTCCCAGAGCTTGCTCAGACTCATGTCTATCTAGTCAGTGAAGCCATCCAAACATCTCATCCTCTGTCGTCCCCTTCTCCCACCTTCAATCTTTCCCAGCATCAGGGTCTTTTCCAATGAGTCAGTTCTTCACATCAGGTGGCCAAAGTATTGGAGTCTCAGCTTCAGCATCAGTCCTTCCAATGAATATTCAGGACTGATTTCCTTTAGGATTGACTGGTTGGATCTCCTTGCAGTCCAAGAGACTCTCAAGAGTCTTCTCCAACACCACATGATGACCTTTACTGGCAATAATTTTAGTTAAAATGGCAAATTCAACACAAATAAACACAAGTTGTAACTTAGTATCATTTAGTCTGCACTAATGTGTGGCCCAGCCATAAGAAATTCACCTGCAATGCAGGA